GTGGTTTAGTTGGAGTACAAATATAGAAGGATGGGCTTAAAGAGCTACATGTGCATGTGCTTCTCTATAATTGCCTACTATGGATTGGCTTCACCTGTGTTGGCCTATACTTTTGCTCGCTTGATTTTCATGTATGCCTACGCATACACAGACATCTCCTATTTCGTTCACACTTTCTTCTTCGATTTGTTTTCTGTATAATTCGCTGTAAATCATAAACCAGAGTAACTATTATCGATTGATGCTTTTATGGAGTGGTGTGTCAAATTTGCTTTTAGGCTCCTTATAGACAAAAAAAGTACACAAAACGACCCTAATATGCTTTGACGTATTACTCTACTCCTGCCGTGGTCATATGGATTTTTATGCATGCATCGTAGTGAAAAGTTGAGATAAACTTAGGACAGCTAAAAGATCACATAATTGAAGTGAATGAACTGATCAAATGTTAGACAGCTAAAAGATCACATAATTGAAGTGAATGAACTGATCAAATGTTCGACTATTTGACCAACAACAAATTCTCAAATTTTACTACAATTATATTTGTGCAATATGTTTCCCTTCGAACTTCAATTCACCATTCATGATTTTACTTATAAGCTACAGTGGCACTTGCATCACATGTGAAGCCATAGGGATCATCTTTCCAGAAGAAACACGAGAGGTCTCAAGACACCATAGAATTTGGCGAGTAGATCTTTCATCAAAGTCATCCTCAAAAGCACAGAATATAAGTGTAAAACAGACAACAGCAAATTTGGGCAACATATGACAAATGTGAACAAATAAACAAGTCCAATAGTTAATCTTAGAACATAAGCATTCGAAAAATCCTGACTTTGCCTCTCACTAACAAACATTATAATCACTTTTAAGTCATCCTCTGAGCAGCTTCCTTGGCTAGAAGCCTCTCTTTCGCCTTGGTCTTAGCCTGGGATTTAGATCCCATAACACCACCTCCCCACTTCTTACGGATTTCGTCATACTTATCATTGAAGTTAGCCTATCACAACAGCACAAGAAAATATATTCGTTCAAAGTTGTAGTTTCAACAGGAAACATGTAAAAAAAGCATTTTTTTTTTTTACAGCTTGGAGCTACTATTAATCTACCTTGATAGCTTCCAGGATCTTGCTGAACTCCAGCTTGTCTTCATTCTTTACGGAGGTCAAACACAAAACAGAGGCAGTCTTCTTATGAACAATCTACAGATAAAATGCAAAGAAAATATATTTAAGCAAAGATATGGAGAGATCACCAAGAAATAAATTATATGCTAGTTAATTAAGTGTCACTTACAGTTCCAAGTCTAGCCTTTCCCTTCACAATGCAGTAAGGAATCTCCATTTTCCTGCAGAGGGCAGGGAGCCACACAACCAGCTCGATGGGGTCCACATCATGAGCAATTACCACCAATTGAGCTTTGTTCTGAAGAGAAAGCAAGAGAAGTTATTAACAGGCCATGAAACAGAGCAAAAAGGAATCAATGCACAATAAAGACCTGCTCGATGAGGTAGGTCACATGGTTGAGACCATATTTGACCACAATGGGCTTTTTCAACTCGGGGGCTTTTCCTTCAGCCTCTGCCTGAGCTCTTTTCAAAAGACGCTCTTTCTTTTGAGCTTTGTCCTCTGGCCTGTACTTGAGAAGCATCTTGAAGAGGCTTGTTGCTGCATATTACAGAATGGAAAACTGATTGATATGACCCCAAATGCACTTAAGAACCCATTTCTAGACAAGAAGTGGACCGTTGGAGTTTATCTCATTTCAATCATAGATAACCAACAAACCGAAACAGAATAGTGCGACCTTCCCAAAATAACATAGACTGCTACCGTGTTCTCAATAACTTAATAGAATTTAACCAAAATGCAACACAGACCATCCGACTAAGGTCTGAAACTCAGAAAATATATAAAGATTATCTTGTAACAAAAAGCACACATTCCTTCCATACTAGATTCCAAACAAACACAATAGCATGATCATTCCAGATAATAACAACAACATTAAAGGTTGGAAATTTGCATTGGATGTAAAATAAAGACAGAACACATTGTTCAAAGATTAAAAAATCATGATGCCTCCCTGATCTTCACACATACAACAATGTGTGAATACCTGTTGCTTCTGGCATAATAGTTACGTGAAACTAGTAAATACAAATTAACATTCAGCAAACTCCAAGCATAGAATTCAAGAAAATACTGAATTGGAGATTCTTGGTCTACAACTTTAGTAAACATGGATCCTATGAACGAATGAGAAAACAATGATTCAAGCAAATATTAACGGCAACACCCCCACTTCCTACAATTCAAAACCTGAGTACCAAAATTAAAAGAAAAATCAAATACAAAAGAGATGAGAAACCACAAACCCAAGTTCTTGTCGAGAGTCTTGGAGAACTGATGAATAGACGGCGGGACCTTCAGCCTCTGCTTCAGTATCATCTTCTTCCTCTGGATCCTCACCACTTGCGGCCATTTCACGAACCGGTGCAGATCCTTCTTCGGCGGCAGAGCTCCGCCGATGCCGAACTGTTTCGGCCTCTTCTCGAACAGCGGGTTCACCACTTTCTCGACCTTCTTCTTGGCCACAGGTTTCGCGCCCTTCTTCGGAGCCTGCACGTTCAATGTAAGCACGAGAATTAGCCAACAGTGAAACAGGAGCGCCCAGTACTGAGATCGGAAGGATGACGAATACCATTTCTGCTGCGAGCTCTGATATACGGCTATGGAACCCTAATGAGTTACAGTATGAAATGCCACCAAGGTCGAGGAGCGATTGAGATTTACGTTTATATACTTGCACTGGGCTAAAACCCTAGGACGATTTATTTTTAGCTCTTAAAGGGCCGCTCCCCAGACTATAGAACTAATCCATTTTTTCGAGTTTTTTCAACCAATAAGCCCAACCTGTCGAGCCCAATCCTAATTTCATTCTTATTTTTCTTTTTCTTTTTATTAATCTAGTGGGACCTACATAATACCCCTCGAGAAAATTGCACACCGTACAATCGCCACCACTATGGTCGGATTCAATTATGGTCCTCGGTGCTGAGGACGAAGTCAATTGCCTCCACGGTGAGCGTTGTCGCCGCCTCTGGAAAGAACCTCATCCGACGATTGGGTAACTCATCTCATCATAATCGGCATCGGTATTGACATCAAAGGTTTTTGAGTTCTTCGTATTCATTGATTTCTTACATGATTATGATTTGTCTGTATGTATTATAGTTTTATTATTATTATTTTGTTGTTATGAGAATGCAAATGGGTATTGGACTTGATTTTGCCAGAATTTACTTTGGAAACTCAGAGTTGAAGTGTTTGTAAATTTACAAACTATTTCTCAGTGTAAGTTAAAGTAATAGTTTTTAATTTATGGTTAATCAAAGGAGTCGTTTTTTTTATTAATTTGAAAGTTCATATGAGTTGAAGTTTGTATGTTTATGAGAAATGGGTTTGTGTATGCATATATTTGAGTGGATTTATACA